ATCCCCATACAGTAACCTCTCCTCAAAAAACTAGACAGTTGACAGAGTCAACTGTTGATATTTTTTAAAATCTCTCTTGGTCCTTCATGACAGGCATTTTCTGCTTTCTCCTAACAGTGAATCTTACTTTAAATATCATTATGAAAGTTACAGATATTTGCTTTGGATTTTAGATTCATACACTGTTATCTTGCAGTATATTCCGTGAGAGCTCAAAAGTGTCACTTGAGTTTACCCTGGGACTTCTCTAATAGTAACAACAATAATAATGGTGGGGATCCATTACATGCCTGAAACTAAGGATAAAAACATGACATACGCAGTCACATTAGGGCTTTTGTCACACAAGTCTTGAGGTATCTGTTTCCCTGTATCTGTGGCTATTTTCTTCAGATCGACCTTTTGATCTGTGCAAAAGGGCTGATACTACTTGGAACATTTCACAGGTTTTGTGCCCTAAAAGTCACAGGCCTGTTTAACTTCTTAACAATTCAAGAATTATATGAGTGGACAGTGTTTTCCTTTAAGCTTCTTTCTTTATGTAACAAACTATCCTTTATCTCAAATTTAACTAACTGGCTGGGACTAGTCTAATCATTAAGAGATGTGAAACCAAGTAATTCCAAGGCTCAGCCTTAATCTTGACAACATTCCTGTCACATTCACTGCCGTGGTAGAAGACAGATTGCCTTAGAAGAAGACATAAGTTACTCTGATAACTTTAAACTAGAAGTTTTCATTAACTGCTGTTACCAAGATAAACATTTTATACTTCTCTGGAAGTAAGAGATTGAGAACATTTACTGATTCATCAAAACCTTGGGGATTTGCCTTGTTCTCAGAAACCCCAGTGATATTTTTATTGGATCTATTTTTGTTTCTTACGTACTTAGAAAAATTCCCATTTTCCCCCAGAAGAGACCATTCACTTGTTTAGTTAAAAACTTAAAAAAAAAAAAATCTTTCTTATATTTTTCTTTGAGTTTAATCCATCTTTTATTTTAATTGTTGTTAGGGATAAATTACCCAGTAGTTTATCCCTAATTGTAGTTAAGGATAAATTATTTAACACCTTTAGAAAGTTCTTAACATTGTAATTTTTTTCTTTTCCTTTGGAGGCTACTTCTTGTACCCAGAGGAGGTATCATAGTCGCCAAAGAAGGGATTGCCTCTTCATGATACCTAGTTTCAGTTGACTAGAGAGACTGAGATCTCTTTCAAGTCAACTGCTTGGCACGTTATGTTTTCTATTTCATGATAGTTTTCAATAGGTTTACTGACTTTTTACCCAATTTGATATATTGCTAAGGGTTGTCAGGGTTTAATGAATCATTTCTTTCTTCTCAAATAAAGATATGGTGTGTTTTTACTGCATAGGCAGAATTCTTAATATGATTTATGATGGCTGTGTTTGACTTCCCAAATAATGATAGACCATTTAGGCATTTTTTTGGGGGTTTTTTTCTGTGTTGTTTGTGCACTTATTTTGTATTCTAGCAGTCACTATCTTACTGATGATATTGTGCTGCTTTTGTGAATTGAAACATCTTACCCATGTTTCTAAGCTCTGTAAATCTAAATTCTTTTAATCCTTGTTGAAATGACCACATCTGCTCTGTACATTTAATGTGTTACTTCCTCTCTTTACATATTAATAGCAGCATTTAGAAACTGGACTGTGCAGAATGTTTAATTTTCCTTCATATTTTTGCTGCTCTTTTAATGTACAGTGAGAATGTTGAGTACAAGTATATGATGACCTTGATTTTGATTATAAACCTTCCTCATATTATAATATTTTGACTACAAGCAAATTAAGTGACCTGAGAGATAATATTGAATGTGTCTAATATTGATATTTATGAATGGTAGATAAATGTTTTATTATCTCTGTATTTTGTCTTCTAGGGTTATGATCATAGCTACTACTTCATTGCAACCTTTATTACTGATCACATCAGACATCATGCAAAATACCTGAATGCATGAAAAACTTCAGATAAGAGAATCTCTTCAGTATTACAAAAGATGTAAAAACAGAATTACCAAGCATAACAAGATTTCAAAACATTGGATTTTATAATGCTAAAAGAGCTTCATTCT